CTACATTGGATATTCTGATGGTGAATCATCCGTTTGATTCAAACACAAAAATAAGCTGGGTTGTTGTAAATGAATTCTGAAGAGAATTGCCAAAGTTAACTTAGCCAGAACTAATCATGGTAGGGACCCACTTTTCAATCTGTATTATTGAGTTACATTAAGCCAACGGAGCATTATAACAATTCATACTTTCCTATATCATGTGTGATTATCCCTTGTTAGAATTAACATCAGAATCTTGGAATTCCCTATTCCAATCACATACAGCTGTTCCAGGAAATTTTATGTAGCTCCATTACTCTTTACACTACAAATGGCTGCTAACATGTCTCCCAATGGTCACAGATTTTATTGTGCCAATTTCTGCAATAGTACAAGTGATGGAAACCATTTAATAGGTTGGCTTTGCTTGCCACAATTTTCATTTCTAACTAAGTACCAAGGTGCCATGTTCTTTTGTACAAAAATTGATAAAAAATTGCTGTAGTTTATTTAGTAGTTTTTTTTTTAATTTACTGCTTTTTTTAATATAAAAATTCATTAATGTAAGTTTTTTCAGTACTCATATATTTAATAAGATGTATGTCTTCAGAATAAATAAATAAAACTCTTAAAATGATATATTTTAGAAAGTGTTAACTCTTTACTGTGTAAACTAACAACAAATATAATAAAAAAGAATGAGAAAAGGAGAAAATAAATATTCATGGGTTAAACTCGATGAACTTTTTTTTTTTTTGGAAATAAAAAAAAAAGTGAGTACTGTCTGTTGACTCTGTCCACATAATTTTCTATCAAAAGTTTTTTTTTTCAATAATTCTACACACTTTTCTATAATTACTGATTTAGTTTGTTTAAAATCGGGTAGCTGTTATATATTCACACTTTAGAACTTGAGCATGTGCACTGTAATTTCCTGAAAAACCAAGTTCCCAAAAGGAAAAATAAATTACAATCAGAAAATAATCTTGGTGAGATAAATGGACAGAGACAAGATGTTAAATGTACAGCATTTTCACCATTCTCCAGGAATTGGCCAAATTTTCCCAATTTCCTGTTCATCTGAGTTCTTTATCAATTATTCAGTAATGAAGACATTGCCAGTATAATCAAAATCCAGGATATAAACTATAATTTGGTTTGGATTAGCAAAGGAGCAATTTGTATTAAAAAGTAATCAAATGATGGGAATGTTATTCTGTGGGGTTTGTACACACTTGAAATATAAGAAATCGTGGAGCACTGGAAACAGGTCAGTAGATTTAACTTTGTACCAGGCAGAAAAAAAGAAGAAAAATTAAGATATCACATATAATAGTTGAAAAGAAAATTGTGTTTAAAGGAAGCATGCAAACTGCCTATTGCATGTATTTTTCTATGAAGGTGATGAAGGCTCTTGTAAGCCCTAGCTTTTCATTAAGTTTACTGTGCAAAGGAAATTTAATTATAGCGTACTAGGCTTTAATTAACTTTTACAATATGTCTGCTGGATTCCCCTTGCTAACTATACATATTTAGGTTGTTCCTTGAATGCCGCAGTCTGGCAGTAGAGGTAAGCTTATGATGTTTGTTCAAGGGTTGGATATTGTTAATTTTATGTAGACTGATATCTGCACGAGGCTTGGATATTGTAAGCTTTGAGGCTTGAGACCTGTTTGAGGGTTGGATATTAGTGACCTTTATATGCAAGGGTCGTCCCAAAAAGTCGTAGACATGGTAAAGAATTTAGTACCTCTATGCCAATGACTTTCTTTTCTGGTCATAGTAAAAAGCAACATGAAACGATCATAAGTTTCAAGTTTCATAACAAAAACACATTTGATAAGAAAATAATACTATATAGTATAGAGAAAGTTTAAGTGTACGCCTGCGCATGAAGGCAAACAAAATTTATGTCTCTTGTAATGTCATAATCATTCTTTTTAAAAATACTGGCCCTTGTGTGCAACATGTCTTGTGGGATTTCTTTGATTTTTCAAATACACTGGTAACCACTGGATTCAAGGATGCAGTAAAAATTCAGCACTTCCTTCTGTCTTCATTATATTCAAATTTTAGCCCCTGCAATGTCATCTTACATTGTACGTGTAAGAAGCAGAACATATGCAAAGTTTAAAGTCAATTGTGACCCAAAACTTCTCTCACCATCTGAAATTGACAATCATTACTGTACTTTTCAGGTTTTCCTTTTTTTGATGATGAGATGAAACTGTCATTAAATGTTTCTATCATTTATATTTATTTTATTTGTCATTTCTAAATATTTTTTCATCTCTGAGGGGTTCAAACCACATTCAAAACAATATTTTATAACATTTCTGTGTGCCAGGAAGATGTTTGATGATGTCATTTGCAGCAAACTCAATTCAGAGTATGCTCTGAAAATTAAGTTACCACTCCTCCATCTCTGAAGCCATTTACTTGGAAAAATTGATGCATTACTTAGATTTTTTTCTGGTTTCATTGATATAGATTTGTATTTGATCTTTTACAAATTATTATTGAAGCAATTGCAATAGTATCCTATGTAAATTGTCCCAAATTTTGCTCTGACAGCTAGACCATATTGGCCTTCTTATAAATTGTCATATTACTTTGAAAGATATTTAAGAATTCACTATTTTAAGGGACGTTGAACAAATGATAGTCGTACAAAAATTGGTCTGTATTGGTTGAATGTTTACAAAGTTATAAACATTGTGTACGACTTTTTGGGACAACCCTTCTAGACTATGATATCTGAGGATTGGCTATTGCTAAACTTAGTATAGACTATGATATCTGGGGATAGGCTATCGTTAAACTTAATTTGTATAGACTATGATATCTATTCAAGACTTGAATATTGTTGCCTCTAGCTCGAGGTTTGGATATTATAACATCTTTATAGACAGTGATATCTATTCAAGACTTCAATATCGTTACCTCTAGCCTGAGATATCTGTTTGAGGTTTGGATATCGTTACTTCTAGCCTGCAATATCTGTTTGAGGTTTGGATATCATTACCTCTAGCCTGCGATATCTGTTTGAGGTTTGGATATTGTTACCTCTAGCCTGCAATATCTGTTTGAGGTTTGGATATTGTGAGATATTTCAGTTATTCTTTTGATATCTATTTACAGCTCCCAGTGGAGTTATACAATCTGTCAGTTCTGATACTGTATGCAGTCTTATAAAAAGTTATCTCTATGTTTGACAGATCAAGGTTAACCACTTAAAGCTAACTACACTTGATTCCAGTTTCATTGGTTTAATTTTTTTTTTCCCATTTAAATTTAAAGCAAAATTACTTCAGTTGAACAAACTTTTTTATACGTCGGATGTTTTTTTTGTTTTTTTGTTTTTTGTTTGTTGTTGTACACTTAAGGGTATTAGCATGAAAGGATAATGGTCATGTATAAATGACACACCGATGTGGAGATCTTACAGAGAGCCCTGTATCTGAGTTCAGTTGTACATCTATTTTTTTTATTTCACCTATAAAGAAATGACTAAAACAAGATTTTAATGTGAAAAACTCTTCTTGTGATGATGACTCTAGACAGATTCATCAGAAAATAAACATTCAAAAATTCAAAAGATCAATATAGCATCCATGTTTCTTGTCAGCATGAATTGAATTTACAACCTGGAGAATTCCAGGCTTGAGTTCCTGCTGACAGTCATTAAGGGGAGATTTGTATGATAATGATCGGCAGATTCCGTACCTGGGCCCATGTTCAGTATGTCTCCTCCCCGAGGTATAAAGACAGATTGTTCTCGGTGTCTTAATGCAGTGTTAAATCAGCTGTTGTAGCTGATATTTAATGTTTCACAGGAGTAAAGAAGTTTGTATTCCCACTTATAATGTAAATTGACTGTCAGAAAATAAAGAATGTTCTCGGTGGTGTGTATAATCTCAGTCAGCGAGGGGGATGTGTCTTCTAACTGTAAGGATGCTCATCTTATGTCAGATCCATGTGTTGTTCACAAAGAACTGGCAAAATCAGTATTATTATCACAAGATCTCTCTACTTAAACTTTCCCCTTTGCAATATCTTTGAATATTTGATGAAACTCAGATGTTTTATTACTGCTTGAAGTGTTAGAGATGAATTAATGAAGGTATTATTAATTTTTTATCTGCTTGTAGGTTCAGTGAAAGAAATAAGATCTGACAGATCAAGTATTGATCAAAAAATAAAAAAATATGTCCCTCTGTTGAATGAAACCAATTACAGGGTGTCTTTTGGGATCAGAAAAAACTCTGTATGTGCTTTTTTTTTTCTCCTGAACCCAATTATGGAAAGTCACGTTGTTACTTATGGAAATTGATTTCCTCCGTCTTTTGTTGTGGTGTTGAAGTGAGAAATGTAAGGAAGCATAAAAACAGCAACTTAGGCATTAATTCATCTACATATGTATGAAATACAATCAGCATTTTGGCAAGTTCTTGCTTATTTCATCCCCAAAAGACATCAGGGAATATTTTCATTACTAAAGGTTTTCAATTTGTCTTGTATTTTTTAATGAGAATTGATGCCAAAAAATTGTCATATAGATGATTAATTTTTAGAAAGCAGTTTTGTGGATATGATAATCTTGATACTCATTGCATGCTACAATCTTACTCAAGAGATCTTAGCTGTTTATTGTAAGGAAGCTCCTTATATCTACACTCAAGTGATATTAAGCGTTATGTAATATATATGTGATAGCATCTTTAATAGAAAATGCAGTTATTCTGCTTTTTGTGTCATCTGTAATTTTCATTTTATCACATTTTATGTCGATGAAGTTTCCAGCTTATCATTTTGAGATCATTCAATTGAGAGTAATTTTTTTGGCCATAAACATGGTAAAGATGATGTGTAGAAAACCTTTAACACTATTTTTTTGTACTTTAAGTTATATGTGCAGCTATCTCGACATCAATACAGCAATGTTTGCAATATCAGGGAATTTAGAAGGAGAGCAGGTGCTTGTTAAGGGAAATAACTCTGTAATCTTGTCATTTCAGTTGAGCCTGGTGTAGAAGAAGAATCAGGCAGCATGTTGGGAAAACGAAGGTTCCCTGAAAATGGGACACAGATCATTCTTAACAAAAAAAGGAAAGTCCAGAGTACTCCAGTCACTAAAAATGCCCTGATGCAGCTGAACGAGATAAAACCTGGGCTGGAGTTCCAGTTTGTTGCCCAGTCGGGACCTGTCCATGCTCCAACCTTCATCATGAGTGTGGAGGTAAATGGGACAAAGTTTGAAGGACAAGGACAGACTAAGAAGGCAGCTCGTCTAAATGCAGCAGAGAAAGCTTTGAAGTCATTTGTTCAGTTTCCTAATGCTTCTGAAGCACACAAAGCCCTAGGAAGGGAGATTGTTAATAATGACGCTGATTTTACCTCCGACAGCGCGGAAGCAACCAATGATATCCTATTTAATAACTTTGAGACTGGATCGGAAAATGGTGCCTCAGGTGAAGTGTTAGTGAAGGAGAAAAATGGAGTTAACAATTTGCCAAAGGGTCGGAAATCTGTGGTTCCTTCCGTACCAGATGGTAAAAACCCAGTAATGATCCTAAATGAATTGAGACCTGGACTGAAGTATGATTTTGTTAAAGAACATGGTGAAAGCCATGCCAAGCATTTTGTGATGTCAGTGGTTGTTGATGGGGTTAAATTTGAGGGATCAGGTCGCAATAAGAAGCTGGCCAAGTCCAGGGCAGCTCAGATGGCTCTTACTAAACTGTTCAACTTGGAGTTCTCCACACATCCAGGTAAATCACAGTCTGTCATGATATAGTTCTCCACAGACCCAGGTAAATCACATAGTCTGTCATGATATAGTTCTCCACAAACCCAGGTAAATCACATAGTCTGTCATGATATAGTTCTCCACACATCCATGTAAATCTCGTAGTCTGCTATTATATAGTCCTCCACACATCCAGGTAAATCACGTAGTCTGTTATTATATAGTTCTCCACATACATGTACCCAGGTAAATAACATAATCCATCATGATGAAAGTGCTGCATTACAGACTTCAAACAAAATTAATTCATAGAAACCATAAATATTTGTACAAGATGCATTTAAAACATACTTATTTAGATATTGCATCAATATTCCAAATAGCTTATAAATATAATTATATTAATTGAAGATGCACAAATTCCAGTTCTCCACATTTATTGTCAGTGTTTGCTGTTTAACAGTTATACCAATATTTGTATACTCTTAGGTACCAAGCCCGTTCCTAAAGAATCTCACACAAATGTTCCTCAGGAGTTAGCAGACCTTGTGTCTCGTCTTGTCCTGGAAAAGTTTTGTGATTTAACTGATAATCTGACTTCTCAGTATGCTAGGAGAAAAGTTTTATCAGGTATCGTCATGACAACCAGTGACTCTGAAGACAGTGCCACAGTGATTTCTGTTTCCACGGGAACCAAGTGTATAAATGGGGAATACATGAGTGATAAAGGACTTGCCGTCAATGACTGCCATGCAGAGGTCATGGGTCGAAGGTCATTGATGAGGTTCCTCTATTTTCAACTGGGGAAACATTTATCTGGAAATCAATTAGAAAAAGAGTCCTCCATATTCCAACCAAAAGAGGGAGGAGGATTCAAATTAAAACCCAATGTTCACTTTCACCTCTATATCAGTACAGCTCCATGTGGTGACTCAAGGATTTTTTCACCTCATGAGGCAGCTCAGGAGTTGGAAGGTGGAGACAAACACCCCAATCGTAAAGCCAGAGGTCAGCTCAGGACCAAGATTGAGTCAGGGGAGGGGACAATTCCTGTGACGTCCTCAGGAGGGATACAGACCTGGGATGGAATCTTACAGGGAGAGAGGTTGTTAACTATGTCATGCAGTGACAAAATCGCTCGCTGGAATGTCCTTGGAGTTCAAGGTATGGTGAGAAGTTTGCCTGTAGGTTTGGATTATATACATAAGCGTTTCAGTACAATGCATAGTTTTAGGAAAGTTCAGAAATGAATACTTCAATACATTATTACATTTATAGAATTTTAGATTTTTAAATTTAACATTATTTGTGACATAAACTTAATTTTAAATGTAAAGCAAGCAATTGATTCATTATATTTAAACTCAGTTACTAAGTATAGATAGTTGTTTTGGTTATAGGCAGTCTATTGAGTCACTTCATAGAGCCAGTGTATTATGACAGTCTCATCTTGGGCAGCTTGTATCATGGAGATCACTTGTCTCGAGCCGTCTACTCCCGCATATCAAATATCGAAAATATACCACCCCCATTCCGTCACAATCAGCCGTTTATGAGTGGAATCAGTAATCCCGAGAGTCGACAGCCACGGAAAGCTCCAAACTTTGCCGTCAATTGGTGTGTGGGAGACGCTGGTCTGGAGGTCATCAACACAATGACAGGAAAAACAGAACAGGGCACATCCTCACAAGTCTGTAAGCATGCGTTCTTCAAAAGGTTCCTCCAATTGTTCGGCAAAATCCCCTCGTTCACTGGGCAGTCTGTTACCCAGCCCCCACGGACGTATGCTGATGCAAAGGCTACGATGTTGGAATACCAAACGGCGAAACAGCAGATGTACTTAGCTTTTCAGAATGCAGGACTGGGACGTTGGCTTAAGAAGCCAGAAGAACAAGACCAGTTTATTGTGTCTAGCTGATAACGCAGTGGTTACACTTTTATGTCTTGATGGACTCTAAATGTTCAACATTTGTCAGATCTCATTTCCTATAGTGTACTTTTTTGCATTACACTATAAGAGTTTGTATTGTGCTTCAGTTAAAATCTGACATGAATGGAAGTAGACCATTTGGAATCGTAAGATCTCTCTAGGAGAGAATGATTTAGATTTTGGTTTATCTTCATGTATTATTATTGCCATATTTTTTGTTACTGTTTCAATCACAGCAAACAGTGAAAGACATCACAAATTCCCACTGAAAATTGAAAATAATTTCCATCATTAACAACATTCCCCAAACAATTCTCTGGTATTAGATTTATAGAATCTCAGAGCAGTTCTTAGCGACTGATTCTGTAGAAGTTAATATCACACGGAAAAAAGAGGGGGCGAGATTAAATGCACTTATTTCCTGTAATGAATGTGTGCACTGAAAATCAATTATTTTTAATTAAATGTTTTAGCATTTAATTTGGGAATTCATTTCAATCATTTGGAGAAATAGTTATTAAGGAAGAGAGCAGCGTATGTTGATGGAATTGCATAATTTTTTGTGAATTCAATTCTTGCAGAGATTTTTTTTTAAAGTTACGATCATCACAGTTATGTTCTGTAGATGTCTAATTAAGAGATTTATAAAGATAAGAATCCATGCACAACATGCAGGCAGTATCATGGAATATTTGATTGTGAAGAATGTTAACATGATGACGATGTTAATTAATTGTAGATTGAAGACAGTATTTTGTATATTTAAAGCTATGAACAAAAGTACGGTAGACATGAATCAAATGATGAACAAAGAATGGATGTTCACAGTACCATTACTGTATTGAAGCTGTGCTTGACCAGACCAACAATAAATAAATTTTTTACCA